AAATGTGATATATATATATATATATATATATATATATATATATATATATATATATATATTTAAAGAAATATGAATTTCCGATTGTTTCGAACAGACTATTTTTGTGGACGGATTTTAGTGGAGATGCATGCATGTAAAAATTCCCAGCACTGAGAAAAAAGTGTTTTCTATTCGTCACTGTAACGGCGCGGTGAAATAATTACAACTGAGAAACCTATTTTTAGAGTAAGCACTTTTCTACTAAGTAAATCGCATTGATTTTTGTGTATAGTCAAATCACGAATAAACCCATCACCTTACATGTTTGTGCTCAATTTTTGACTCACCGAAATACCAGGAACTCAATCACGTTCTGCTGCAAATCTGAAACAATAATATAGAGCACGGATTAGATGTGTGAATTAATTGTTTAATGAAAAAAATATACGAACGTGTTAAACTTTTGCGATCGTTGTAATTCGACAATTTTTACTTGGATAACTGTATCTTAATATTTGGTCGTAAAAGGTTAAATTGAAGAAAGTATATAAACTTACTTTCGAGCCGACTTTGCTTTGCCCGAACCGGATCCTCCGGTACAGCATTTATATTCACTAAACTTGCACTCTACAGATTTTGTAGAATCCATTCTGTGGCCACAGACGATCTGAAAAGAAGAAAACTCTAGGTTAGTTATGATCAGAATTGCGAGTAATTAATTAATTAATTAAATTCGAAAATGCTGCCATTATTCAATACAATAAACAAGATAATATAATGCAAAATAATATAATGTGTCCCACGTACGTCTGCCTTCGCTAAAATATAACTGTGGCAGCTAAAACGCGTTATTGAAATAGCTAATACCGTCATCACCGAGACTATTTGAATTTATTTGATAAACACTGCGATAGAAATATTTACTGCTAAATAGAAAGCTCCCATCGTAATAATTTCGTCCCTTTCTTTGAAATTGTACTTTATACCCGTCAAAAGCATGAAACTAACATTTCGCGTTATAAATTCAAACCGAGGGTTTTCATTAGTTGTTAACACAGATTAATAATTAACGTCCACTTTGGCGCAAACACAAAAACCGATGTCTTTCATACTCACATGGCTATGCCATTGGATTTAACGTTTAACGGAAGCGCAGTAATTTTCCCTTTCCAATGATCTTTGTTTCAAGTCGCTACGACGTCTACAAGCGAAGTTATTGACGATTGTGTCGATCCGTGTTTTCGGCCGGCCGGCGTTATCGAGCGTAGCGAGCAGTAGATATGACGCGACGCGACGTGCGTGAATGGAATGCGGCACGCGACTGCTTCCGGTGAGTCACCTTGGGCGGCACGCGGCCCCCCCCCCTCCGCGCCTCAGATAAGCGTTGCTCGCCGCGGCCGTTCACCTCGCATATACACGGTGTCCGGTAAGTCGCGTCGCAGCCGCGGCGAGATACACTATAAATCCAAGTGCGTTATTTTTAAACGCGTAAACGTATAATTTGTCTGAAAACCTTTTTACACGTTTCTTATGTATGTGTATATATATATATATATATATATATATATATATATATATATATATATATATATATGATCAAATGAACAAAAAATTCCTCTATCATTTCTCGAAGAACTAGTTAAGTAAAATTTAAAGTTATACAATTTTGAGTTATTCATTAAAAAAAATTATGAATAATCATGTACGATACGGCAGATGAGTAGTAATAGCGACGCCTGTCGTAGTGTGTGTTTGTAGATTAAATCGAACTGCACAAAAGAGTTCTCCATCGTTTTGTAAATAACTATGTAGGGTTTTAATTGTTAATTAAAGAACATTGATGTATTATCATACGCGATTATCCGCGTATCTTCTTTAATAAATAACTCGAAACTTTACGTGTTATTTGCAAAATGGTAAAGGAATTTTTGGTTCAGTTTGACTTAATCTATAAGCACACGACGACAAGCGTTCTTGTCACAACTCATCTGTCGCGCATGATTATTCGTCAATCTTTTTAAATTAATAACTCAAAATTTTACGGTTTTACGTGGTTCGTTGCAAAATGGTAGAAGAATATTTTTAGTCTGCATAGAGGACGCCAACGTGAAAGTGCAAGTCAGAGTTGTGATAATATTAATTAAATTTTTCCCAGTTTAATAATTGATTTGAACAAATATGTTTCAATTTAACTGATTAACAATTGATCCAAGGAAAAAATCGATCAAAAAATGTTTAATTGACGATTGATTTCAACGAATTCAATTAAAGACGATTGATATGAGCAAAAGAAATCAAAGATCGTTCAAAATTAACAATTGAATTTAGCAAATTTAATGAAAAACCGTTTAATTAATAATCGGATTTGGCAAATTTAACTGAAGGCAAATTTAATTGATTTGATTGTTTGATTGATGATTACGAGCAAATTTAATCGATGCAAAGAGCGTTCGATTACTCAAGAATCGATTTTGTGGATAATATTCAGAGCGTCGTGACATCATGGAAAACGCCGATAATTGAATCTGCGTTGAGAAAAAGGAGTATTGAGCATATCAATGATCTCCAAGCAATCTTCGATTTGAAACTATTGAATTTGGATCAAACAGCGCGATCATGTAAATACGAGATACGTTGGTTTTTGTGTTTGCGTCGACATTGATCTATGTTAAAAACTGATGGAAAGTCTTGGTTTGGGCTTGTGACGCATAGACACAGTTTTTTTTCATTACTGCTGTGTATCGAACAGCGAATATCTTTTGTTCTGTGGCGTCAGAGTTCAGATAGCTAATGAATTGAATTTGGGTAGCAACGGCACTAGCTGTCCCAATAATTCTTTTCAATTTCGTCTCAGCCGCCACATCGATATTTCAGTTCTCGTGGGCAATTTATTTTTCTGCGCGTTCCACCTGCAGCAGAAATGAAATCGCGCGACTCAACTTTTTCGCATTTACGTCGCCGCAAATCGCCCGTTAAGGCCCGTCTACATACACTGAGGAAAAGATACTTGGAAATTTATTTGTGTGATACAAAATTTATTTCCGTGAAATAAAGTATATTTCTGAGAAATAAAATTTGTTTCTGTGAAACCAATTTTTGTCCTACAAATAAATTTTCAAGAATTTTTTTTTCAATGTAGGCCGCAACACGCAAAACGCAGTTCGCAAACGCAGAGAAAATGCAGAAAGTTGAAGTTGGATCAACTCATCGCGCACAATCAAGTTGCGAATGTGTGCGCGATTGCGAACTGCGTTTTGCGTGTTGCGGCCTATGTAGACGAGCCTTAACGTATCCCGCATCGTCGGACGCGAATCGGTTCGCTTTTGACGACATAGTCGGACATCCTTCGTACGATTGCGCGGCCCTGCCGCAACATTCATCACGACAGCCCCTGCGGTGCGTTCCGCCCTAATTAAACCGACATTAAAAAAGCTCGCTTTATTACGTGCCTTCGCGTCGCCCGACTCGCTCTCTCGAACTTTCGCCTTTCGATACGCAAAAATGATGGCCGGTCGCGGTCGTAATTATCTTAAAGCTACCGCGATGCGGTGCCCACACCGTGTAGATCATATTTCTTGTCGGCTCCTGCCTTTCCACGTACGTGCGCTCGCCGGCACGCTCGCGAGAAAGAGTGAGACGTACGAAAGCCGAGTGCATTAATCTCCGGCGACGGTTGCGTTAATGTAATCGTTTAATAAGTCCGGTTTATTAACTGCGCCCGTTCTCATCGGCATTAATTCACCCTTTACCGCGAAACCATTGGCCCGAAAATCCACGCGCGCGCGCATGAGAGAGAAGGCGCGTGCGAACGAAAGTATCAAAGAGAGAGAGAATGAAGGAAAGAGAGCACCCGGATAAAAACTTTTGTCGCGACGTGAGATAGTCGACAATGGGAACTCTACATTATTTTTTAATTACATTTCTATAAGACAAATTCTATCTTCGACAAAGAATATTTTCTCGTGATGACAGCTTTAAAAAATACACTCATCATAAATTTTAGAAAAGCATCATGTGTTCAAAAAAAATTTTGTATTCTCTTCATAAGAATACACTGAGAAAAAATACTTGAAAATTTATTTTTGTGTAGACAAAGTTTACTCGCAGAAATGAACTTTATTTCATAGAAGTAAACTTCGTATCCTACAAATAAATTTTCAAGTATTTTTATCGTAAAGCTTTATTAAAGGAAAAATTGCTTCGACTTTGTACAGTAAGTAAATAAAATTTTTGCTTAATCTAGTATTCTAAATTGAAAAATGCTAAATTTACAAGAATTTAAAATGTATTCAAATTTTATGTATATAATGACTTATAATAAATTTACGGATATATAAACTTATAAAATGCTTGAAGCAAATAACATTTACTTGTACTGTTAATTTACTTGTACTTTGGCTAATAATGTTCCCGCCAAATCTATATACAGTTATCTATCTGAGAAAGGAAAAAGGTTTCGGACGATCCATCGTTTTTTTCACGTATGTTTCAATGCATTGGCAATTGTCGACGACGTATCGAGGGTCCGATGAGCAAACGAACACAAATAATTCGAGGAAGGGCAAAACGGGTTCGTTGCATCGGGATTATCCGTGGAAAGAGAGCTGAGAAAGAGCGAGTCGCCGCGCGATATTACAAGGCATATTACCGCAATCGTCTCTGTGCCCTGATTATTCTTCACGACTTCCCTTTCGGCCAAGCACGCGGAGTATTTTGAGAGCTCGAAGGAACATTTCTGTAACTCTCCTCTCTCTGCATCTTCCTGGACGCCGTCGCGATCTTGGAACGTCTCCCTCCCCCTCTCCCCCTCTCTCTCTCTCTCTCTCTCTCTCTCTCTCTCTCTCTCTCTCTCTCTCTC